ATCCTCATATTGTTCTTCGAGACATCTCTGATCTTTGGGGAGCCCTCTCGGTGCTTCCTTCTTTCAAAGCAGCTTTCGGGGCACTCTTGGGTGCAGAGGCATCGCGTAGCGCAAGTACCCCAAGGCAGCAAACTGAGGCTCCTCAGTCTGCCTTGCCAAACTCTGCGATCTCACCCCACCTTACCTAGCCCTCAAGGCCACTGTCCACCTGGTGCTCAGAGTACAGTGGGGGCTCCCAGGAGGAGGTGACATGTAAGCTGAGCACTCAAAGGCAGGTGGGAGCTACACAAAGGAGGTGGAGCTGGTTGGCGCCCTGTGATGAGCTGCAGGTTGGTGTGGGTGGGATGTAAGTAAGGGCTAGAATGTGGGGAGAGCATCAGACACAAGATCAGAGATTGCAAGCTGGGGACTCACAGACAGGAGCCAGCCCACAGAGCAGGCTGTTAGGCCAGTAAAATAAATGTGACCAAATTTTGTGTTTTAGGAAAAAAACCTCACTGGTTGCAACTGAGGTTGCAGAGTGGAGCAATGGATTATGGTGCCAGCTGTAAATCAAGGCAAGCTTGCCCTCTGGGATGGGCAGAATTGGGGGTGGGGCGTGCACTGTAGCATAGAGGTTAATGGCTGACAGCATGGACCCTGGTGCCAGCTACATCACTTAATAGGCGGTGACCCACAGCAGCGACACTCTGTCCCTCATTTTCTTCTTCTATAAAATGGAGATAATAACACACCTCATAGGGTGGTTACTTGCAGTACTGAAGTAAGGATTAAACGAGTTCATATTTGTAAAGCTTTAAAACATTGCCTGGTAAATAAGGTTTGTTAAATGCTGGGAAGGGTTTCCTAGACCTGTAACTGGATGTTTCTCTGACTTTAGGGTCTCTTATACTTTAACAGCTGAGCTGAACTCTAAGCATGTAGTGAGGCCCCACGTTCTGGTTGTATTTCCCCAAATAGTTTATTGCTCACTTTGTATTCCCCTGGCACAAGAATACACTGAGGATTGAAATCTCGTGATTAACTTGGTTTTATCTTGTTCAAGGGATTTCAAAAAACCCATGGCACAGAAAGGTGAAGCAAGAGGGATGTCCAACTAGTACGTGACCCAGCTCGGGTCTAACCCCTTTCCTGCCTCCTTCACCTCCTTCTGCCCCTCAGCTGATTGGTGTTGAAGGTGGGACTAGAATCCACATCTTTTAATCCTTAGATCATTGTTCCCTTCGCTTTGCTATGAAATAGAAATCTTATTGCTTATATCTCTGTGTTATGGTGCTTTTAGTTATTCATATGTGTTTCTTACTGCCTGAATGTGATTGAATGTTTTTTTAGGGTAGGATTTCCCTCTTACCTACATACACCCTTGCTTTTCACTCTTACTTCTCTTCTGATCCTCACAGCATAGCCTGAGTGATCTTTCAAAAACATAAATCAATGTTTCACTCCCACCTCAATCAATGGCTTTTTGTTACTCTTAGGCTAAAGCCAAGATTCTTCATGTGTCCTGCCAGGCAGGGCTGAGTGGTCTAGCCCTTACCTCCCTCTCTAATCTCCCCCATTCAACCACGTGGCCATAACCTAAGCTCAACAAGCAACCTCCCAACAAAAGGCCCTTGCAACCGCCAGTCCCAACTGGGAATCCCCCCCCCCCCCCCCCTAACCCAAGAAACTCCAACCAACAACGCAGTCCGCACATCACAGCCAAGCCAACCCCAATACAACACGCCCCGAGCTAACCTGGCAGCACAGAAAGGACAGCCCCGCCCTATCCTTGACCAGACCTGTGATCTTAGGTTTATGTGTGTGATTGTTTTCAGTGTCTATTTTATCAGGCCATGTGTGAAATCTCTTTCAGCTAATCTTTTATCCCTACTGCCTACTATAGTGCTTATTGCACAAAAAGTGCTCAGTATTTGTTGACTTAAATAAAAGACTATTTTATCTCTCAGCACCTTGCACAGAATCGAGTGAAAACAAAGTTTTAAAGAGCACAAACAGAATAATAGCATGTCACCATAACTACACAGTATCTATCAGCATCATTCTAAGAAGAACCAAGAGAACTTTATTTAATGGCTTCAGCTAATAAAAGAAAAAAAGCCTTTAATATTTATTGCTGTGAAGCATAGATAAACCTAGTAGTCAGAAGTAGATATTATATGCACCTCACCTATTTGTCCATCAGCTTTCTGAAAATAAAGATCCCAAATATTAATTTAATCTTAGTATTTCATATTCTCCCTCATATGTCATAATTTTTCCAAATGTAATGTTTTATTTTCCCCCAGCTCTATGGAAGTATAATTGATAAAAGTTATATGTATTTAAGGTGTATAACATGATTTGATATACACGTACATTATGAAATGATCACCACAGTAAAGTTAATTAACAGTTACCAGTTTTTGTGTATGTGTGGGGAGCACACTTAAAATCCAGCCTGTTAGAGAATTTCAAGTGTACAATACAGTATTATTGGCTGTCCATTAGGTCCCCAGGACTTACTATTACTGAAAGTGTGTACCCTTTGACCAACATCTCCCATTTCCTCCACCCGTAGTCCCTGGCAACCCATGTTCTGCTCTCTGCTTCAGTGAGTTTGACTTTTTGAAATTCCACATAAGTGAGATCATGCAGTATTTGTCTTTCTGTGCCTGCCTCATCTCACTTAGCATGGTGTACCCCGGATTCATCTATGCTGTCGCAAATGGCAGAATTTCATTTTTATGGGTGAATAATATTTTATTGTGTATATATATATATAAAATACAACACACTACAACACACATCTCACAGGAGACGAAAACACTGAAAACACACCGGCACAGGGAAAACGCCACAGAAAACAGGGGGATGCAGATACCTCTTCAAGAAACTGACTTCACTTCCTTTGGATATGTTAACAGCAGTGGGATTGCTGGATTATATCATAGTTTTGTTTTTAATTTTTTGAGGGACCACCATACTGTTTTCCATAATGGCTGTTTTAACTTACATTCCCCTCAAGAGTATACAAGGGTTCCCTTTTCTCTACCTTCTTGCCAACACTAATCTTTTGTGTTTTTTTCATAATAGCCATCCTAACAGGTATCAGGTCACATCCCATTGTGGTTTTGATTTGCATTTTCCTGTGATGTTGAGCTCTTTTTCATGTACCTGCTGGCCGCTCACAGGTCTTCTTTTGAGAAATGTCTATTCAGATCCTTTGGTCATTTTTAATCAAAAATGAAAAAGATTCAGAAAACATTAGCGAGCTTTAATACAATAGAAATTAACCAAAATGAAATATTTTAAAAATAAGAACATCCTCAGTGAGACTTCTAGGGACTAACATATGTGTAATTAGATTCTTCCAAGGAGAAGAGCCAGAGGGCTACAAAAAATTTTTTTGAAGATATAATGGATGAAAAATTTCTAAATTTGATGAAATAACTATAAACCCCCAGATCAAAAATGACAAACTACAAGTATATGAAATATAAAGAAAATGACATTAAGGCACATCATGCTCGAATTGCTCAAAGCCAGGATAAATACAATTTTATTCTCCTTTACAATCTTTAGACTTTTAGTTTTCTTGCCTATTTAGGACTTTCTAGTACCCAATGCTGAATAGAAGTGGCGAGAGCTATTTTTGCATTTTGCCCTGTTTTATGGGAAAGCATTCAGTATTTCACCATGAAGTATGATGTTAGTGATAGGTTTTCCATAGATACCCTTTATCTGACTGGGGAAGGTTCCTCTTACTCTCAGTTCACCAAGAGTTTTATAACAAAAGGTATCGATGTTGAGCATCTTTTCATATACCTCTTGGCCACTTAATATGTCCTCTTTGGAAAAATATTTCTTCAAGTCCTTTGCTCATTTTTTAACCAGCTTATTTGCTGGGATTTTTTTTTTTTTTTGCAATGTAATTCCTTATACATTTTGAAAATTAACCCCCTTTTAAGATACAAGATTCTGCGATGTTTTCTCCCATTCCATAGGCTGCCTTTTTGTTGATTGTTTCCTTTGCTGTGCAGAAGCTTTTTAGTGAGATCTAGTTTATTTTTTCTTTTGTTGACTATGCTTTTAGTATCACATCTAAAAAAAAATCATTGCCCAAATCAATGAGTTTTTTTCCCTATGTTTTCTCTTAGAAGTTTTATGATTTCAAGTCTTACGTTTAAGTCTTTAATCCATTTTGAGTTAATTTCTGTCTGCGATGTAAGCTATCCTGTCAGTTATATCATAATTGAGCTCCTTTTCTCCTCTGGCTAAGATCTTGGGCATGTGCAGTTCAAACATGGTTTTTGAAAGTGCTCATCTTGAAGTAGTCTAGAAATGCCCTGGCAGATACTAAATGTGTAACAGGTGAAGGAATGTGGGCTGCACATAGCTGTCAGGCAGGAAGAGGGGACAGAAAGATGCATTTTCCTGATGATTAGCAATATTGGAGAATGAGTGAGGCAGAAAATATGAAAAGGACATTATTATAGCTGCATCTTGTGAGGTCTGCACTAGACTGGTTGTCTAGGAGGAAAAACATGTTCTAAAAATTCAGGATGTAGACCAAGGAAGCTGGGACAATTATCTGAGAGTGTAGGGGCCCCAAAGAGAGGAAACGAGCCTACTTATTTCCCCTTGGAAAACCCGCAAAAGGGCCTGAGTTTCTTCAGGACTCCAGGCCAGTCCTACTGTGGGGTTGAAATAGAGAGGAGGTGAGGAGTTGAATGTTCAAGCCAGACTCTGTTTCTATGGAGTTTTACCGCAGATGACTATGCATCAAATTAAAGTAGACCGTGCCCTCCCAGCAGTAACTAAGTATGTGATAATTTGGGCTCCTTCCCTAGATGGAGGGGCAGGGACCACCTCGTCCCTTGGGTGGAGGTAACCACAGTGACTGATCTGGGGACCCTTCCCTGGGTATTTCTGCCATGCTGTGTGACCCCACTGCTGGCAGACCACTGGGGCAGAGGCCAGGGCCATTCTCACCGCTGCCTGTCGCCCTCTCCCACCAGGAAAACGAGGGCGTCTCCTGCCACTACTGGTCGCTGTTCGACGGTCACGCGGGGTCCGGGGCCGCCGTGGTGGCGTCGCGCCTGCTGCAGCAGCACGTCACGGAGCAGCTGCAGGACATCGTGGAGATCCTGAAGAACTCGGCCGTGCTGCCGCCCACCTGCCTGGGGGAGGAGCCCGAGCACGCGCCCGCCAACAGCCGCACCCTGACGCGGGCCGCGTCGCTGCGCGGGGGCGTGGGCGCCCCCGGCTCCCCCAGCACCCCGCCCACGCGCTTCTTCACCGAGAAGAAGATTCCGCACGAGTGCCTCGTCGTCGGCGCTCTTGAAAGCGCGTTCAAGGAAATGGTAGGTATCGGTGGAGAGTCCAGGCCCGCAGGCGTCCTCAGGCTAAGGCCCGCGGGCCCCGTGCAGGTGTGTTTTGCCAGTTTGCTTTTTTTTTTTACTTCAATACAGGAGATGTGCGGTGTGCATAGCAATTTGTTCATAGGTTTTTTTTTTAAAAGCTATAGTCCGGCCCTCCGACGTTCTGAGAGACAGTGAACTGGGCCCCTGTTTAAAGAGTTTGAGGACCCCTGGTCCAGGGCAACAGGGGCCGGGCAGTGGTGGCTTAAGCCAAATCCTTCCTTCGGGGAGGGTTCCCTGAAAGTGCGAGGTCTCCGTGCCTGCTGCCACCTGGACGCCTCCTTTTATGCCCGGGCTTCCCGTTCTCCAGAGAAGTTGGTGGCATTGAGTGCTGGCAGTAGTGTCAAAGGTAATGAAAGAGAGGGGTAAGTGCATGAGGTCATAGGCTTACGAAATACATGCCCGGCACTTCCATTTCATCACACTCGCATTGGTGCCAGCTGGTACCCTTCCACTTAATTGCAGCGTGAGCGTGGCTGCCATCAGTTTTACACGTGCGTATGAACCCCGGGGGTTGGCAGGAAGCAGTATTTAGGAACGTGTGCTCAAAAGCACCCTTCCTGCACGGGCCTCATCTGAGAACGGCTATTTTGCCACGACTGATAATGTGGTTCCCACTGCTGACAGAGTAGCTGCTGGCGGAGAACAGGACGGCGGGGCTGGTATCCAGGAATCTCTGGTTTCACCTGGGCGCAGCGGCTGTGTGCGTTTTCGTTTGAGTGGGTCTGACCCTGCCCTCAGGAGGAGAGTGCGGCCCCTCTCTGCCCGGCAAGAACGCGCGCAGGCCGCCCCTGCTTTGTTCCGTTTGACCTCCTTTTTCTCTCTGAGCTCGCTTTTTTTTTCTGAGCCAATTATTTTGGTTCCAAAGATTTTCTTTCCTGTGCAGCAACCTGCGTACAGATAAAGAGTGAGAGATATTTAAGGATGTTTATAAGCACTTGAGTTCGGTGAGTGGGCAGCAGTGTCCCTAAAACCTGGAGATTAAAAAGTGGTGACAAGCTGTTAAATGAAACCAGAGCAGCTAAAAGCATCTCACCAGAACCGAGTGTCCACTGCGCATTCCAGGATCTCACAGTGTCAGGTCGTGCGCTCACGAGTAAAGAATAACGATAAACATCATCATCTGATTTGTTTGTAAGGCAAAAATAGTTCATATAGTCGCACCTCAAATTTGCACCCTCTTCTTACTTAAATGTATCCCTTATTTTTTGGCCTCAGCTTTTCTCTCCTTGTCACATAGATGACATTTACCCTTTGATTAGCAGGTGGTTTAAAATCCACCGCTGCCGGGGCTGTGGCTGGGGACTGTAGTCCTAGCTACTTGGGAGGCTGAGGCCGGTTGATCACTTGAGCCTAGAAGTTCTGGTCTGTTGTACACTATACCAGTTGGGTGTCCACATTAAGTACAACATCCATATGGTGACCTCCCAGGATTGGGGGACCACCAGGTTGCACAGGGAGAGGTGAACTGTCCCGGGTCTGAAACAAGCAGGTCAAAATGCCTGTGCTAATCAGTAGTGGATTGTGTCTGTGCCTAGTCCCTGGACTCCAGCCTAGGCAACATAGTGAGACCTTTGTCTCTTAAAAAATAAATATTTTAAAAAGAAAACGCACTTCCATCTCATGAGTTTCTGATCACCTACAACCCTGCAGTCCCCATAAAAACACCAGGAGGCTGGAAAAGATTATTTAGGGAAAAAAGAAGCAAGGTAGAAAAATTGACTCCTGATTATTAAACTTGGTGTAAAATCTCACTCTCTGGCTCTCATAGCAGCTCTGATGTGAATAAATGTTTCTAGACAACAGTGCTCAGGATGCTAAATATTTAATTATTTTTAAAGTTATCTGGGCAAAAATGTGACAATAGGTTCTCCCCACAATGGGAGGAAAGAGTCAGTTCGTTATGTGGTAGAAGTGGAAAACAATGGAAACTTTGGGATTTTCATATCCTCCAGTTACGACTAGTACCCCAGCTCATCTTTTACTGGGAACTGCTGTATTCTCGATTTTATCCACTAGAGGCCAATGTCACATTGACTGAGGCCTCCACAAAGGTCTCAGCCTCTTCCTCCTGTGAAAGGCTCAGGATTGCTCCTATTATGACTGTACTTGAAAAGAGAGGTTCATTTAGACAAATATTTACTGAAGAGCCTCCTATTTGTCTTTCAAATTTTTTCAGCTTATACTTAGTTTATTATTTGAAATTTTCTTTGGAAACTTAGTTGTCAGCAAAAAATAAAAAAGCCCAAATTGCTTGCTTCACTGTTATGTGTAATTTGTTGAATCAATAAATACTTGCTGAGAACCAACTCTATACCAAGTATGAATGGGAAAAGAGCATTGAACAGATTAGGCAAAGACGGGGATTAAGCACATAAAATACATATGGGAAGAGCCGCGAGAGGGGAGATGCAGGGAGAAGCGGGGTCTGGTACAGGGGGAAGGAAAGGGTTCCCTGGGGGTGATGCTGGGGGCAGGTGGGAGTCAAGCAGGCAAAACGGGGCTGAGGAAACCCTCTGTGTGAAGGCCCCAGTCAGAGAGAGAACCCAGGTGGGCCAAAGGCAACGAGGGGCCGTCTGCCTTGGCCAGAAGATAGATTTCAAGATTAGGAATGAGGCAAGGTGAATTGGAGATTCTGGAGCCCACCTGTGGAGGACCAGCTGTGCCATATTATGAACCTTTAGCTTTAAGCCACAGCTCTTCTCCATGTTTGTTCCTTTCCAGTGACCCCAACCCCCAGCTTACTGCTCACACTCTAGGCCCTTGCATGCCTGCAGCCCACCTGGACTTTGCACCATGGCCCTTGGTACATGGTTGGCCTTAGGAAGTGAGAAGCTCATCAGTTCTTTGGTCCTGGTGGTACTTGGAAAGGTGGCCCTACGTCCTGTTGTGCCAGGGACTGAGCCAGTTGATGCCTGTTGTCCCAGAGTAATTACTAATATTGTCCCCTTTCACTCTCAGAAGTGTCCGTGTTTGGATGATAAGTCTTCTGTTTAGCTTAATCACAAAGAGATGCTCTTGTTTTTCCTTTGCTTCATCAGGAACTTAAGAAAAAAGGCTCCAGTTTCATAGAAACAGCACCCAACTTAACCTTATTAAATTGCTTGGAGTGAGCTGCTGATTTTGCAGCATAGAAATTGCACCACATACCCTCAAAATAATGGCCTGGAAGGCCATTGCTAACTCACATAAACTACTTTTTCTTTCTTCCCTTTCTCAATATTATTAGCTTTTTGACAGTCATTTTCTTAAGGTGTCAACCTTTGGTTTTTTGAAATGCCCAACACACAATGGGGCAGCTTTGGAATTTCCAGGCCATTCCTAAACATTTTTGTCCCCTATAATAGCCAGCCACCTAATAGCTTTCCCATTTTTAAGTATTCTTTAGGAATTGCAGGTTTTATGTCATTCTGACATTCTGTACTAGGAAATTCAATGTTAAATAAGATTTCATATAGGTATTTCAGCTTTGTGGTCCTTTTGCTTCTCTCCCATTTTAATTCCTAAAAGCTGAGTTCTCCAAGCCTAGCACCTGGGCCTCTAGTTGGCCTCACTAATGTTATCTCTGCAGCTGTCCCCCCTGAAACTCAGAATGTCACTTAGAAAGGCAGAGCTTCTCCTTCACTGGGGGTTTTTGCTTTATTTATAGTAGTACAATGATGTGGAACCAGAGTTCTTTGGACTGTCTTTGTGTCTCTCTTTCTCTCTCAATGCAGTGCTGTGATGTTTGGTTTTTGTCCCTATTTCCTGGCATGCAACTCCTAAAATCTTTTAAATCTTCAGAGTGATGAGTATCTTTGTGTATCCCGCTGAGAAGACTGTGGGGTGGCAGTCCTGGGTAGCTTTAGGATGGAGCCTGGTTGCCAAAAAGACCAAGGCAGGATTAGAGGGCTGGGGCTTTCAGCCCCATCCCCCAACCTCAGGTTGAAGCTGAAGGTCGAGTTGATCTCCAGTGACCAATGATTTAATCAATTGTGCTTGTGTAATGAAGTCTGCATAAAAAACCAAAGGACAAGATTCGGAGAGCTTCCAGATAGCTGAACACACATGGAGGTTCCTGGAGAGTAACACACCCAGGGAGGGCATGGAAGCTCCATGTCCTTTCCCCTGTGCCTTGCCCTACCCACCTCTTCATCTGTATGTATCCTTTGTAATACCTTTATAATGAACCAGTAAACAGAAGTGTTTGCCTGAGTTCTGTGAGTCACTCTAGTAAATTAATCAAAACCAAGAAGGGAGGTCATGGGAGCCCTGATTTGTAGCCCGTTGGTAAGAAGCGCAGGTAAAGCAACCTGGGGCTTGTGACTGGCAGCAGAAGTAGGGACAGTCCTGGGGCCAGACCCCTCAACCTGTGGGATGTGACGCTATCTCACAGGGTGACGGTGAAGTAGAGGAGACCCAGCCGGTGTCTGCTGCAGAACCATTGGCTTGGTGTGTGTAGGAGGAAAACCCCCACGCCTGGTCACAGAAGTCTTCTGTGTTGATCGTTGTGAGGTGAGAACAGGGGAAAACAGTTTGTGTTTTTTCCACTAAGAAATACTCTTCTCAGTCACTAGTGTTTACTGAGCTTACATTTTATAATCAGCATTCTTCTAGACACCACTGATGACAGAAGTAAAAGATAAGATCTTATGTCTGGGGATATTGGTAGTCACATGTTATATGAACATGGAGATAGGCACTATCTCATTTACATTAATGTTCTAAATAATATTAAAGGAGGTAGTGGAATGTTGATACCTTTCCAAAAGAGTGACTCTGTTAAAAAATGTTCAGAAACACCAAGTCAAAGTAAATAGTACCTATATCTCAGAAAAGGTAGGAATTAGTTGCAAAATACAGACTAAGAGAAGAGGCGGGGAAAATGCTTGGAATGAGGGGAGGTGGTACCAGTTTCATCAAATACTCTAAGCAGCTTTGAGAGCAGTGCTTTTCATCTTTGA